TTCTTTTTTCTGTTGAAGGTAATCTTGGACAGGAGAACAAAGATACCAGTGAACCATTCCAAATGATCTGGCATGGAGTTGGAACGGAGAAGCCTGCAATTCAAATAGAACGAGAAAGTCATGAGAGAAACCAGTCAAATACTGGGAATAAGGAAAGCTTATCTTCCACTGATGCTGAGATTCAAGACTTTCTTCCCTCACAAGGAAAAATAAAGAAAAAATGTATCATGAAAAGTGTACGCCTATTCAAAGACAAATTAGAAATAAATCAACACTATCCAGTCCAAACAAAAGAAGATTATATGTCCAGAGACAGTGGTAATAATTACAATTGCATTTTCACTCTTTCCCATGAAAATGGGTCCCTTACATCTCATAAAAGAATCCACACAGGAGAGAAGCCATACAAATGCATGGAGTGTGGAACGAGCTTCAGTTTTAATAGTTCTCTTACTGTTCATCAAAGGATGCACACAGGGGAGAAGTCATATAAATGCATGGAGTGCGGAAAGAGCTTCTGTAAAAACAGTTCTCTTACTGTTCATCAAAGGATCCACACAGGAGAGAAGCCGTATAAATGCATGGAGTGTGGGAAGGGCTTCAGCCAAAACAGTAAGCTCACTTCCCATAAAAGGATCCACACAGGAGGGAAGCCATATAAGTGCACAGAGTGTGGGAAAAGTTTCACTAACAGCTCTTCCCTCACATCTCATAGAAGGATCCACACAGGAGAGAAGCCATATAAGTGCATGGAGTGTGGAAAGAGCTTCTGTGAAAATAAGTCTCTTACTGTTCATAAAAGGATCCACACAGGGGAGAAGCCATATAAATGCATGGAGTGTGGAAAGAGCTTCCGTGAAAACTCATATCTTACTCTTCATAAAAGGATTCACACAGGGGAGAAGCCATATAAATGCATGGAGTGTGGGAAGGCCTTCACGCAACACAGTAGCCTAAGTTCCCATAAACGGATGCACACAGGAGGGAAGCCATATAAGTGCACAGAGTGTGGAAAAAGTTTCACTAACAGCTGTTCCCTCAAATCTCATAGAAGGATCCACACAGGAGAGAAGCCATACAAATGCATGGAGTGTGGAAAAAGTTTCACTAACAGCTGTTCCCTCAAATCTCATAGAAGGATCCACACAGGAGAGAAGCCATACAAATGCATGGAGTGTGGAAAAAGTTTCACTAACAGCTGTTCCCTCAAATCTCATAGAAGGATCCACACAGGAGAGAAGCCATACAAATGCATGGAGTGTGGAAAGAGCTTCCGTGAAAACTCATCTCTTACTGTTCATCAAAGGATCCACACAGGGGAGAAGCCATATAAATGCATCGAGTGTGGGAAGGCCTTCAGGCAACAGAGTAAGTTTACTTCCCATAAACGGATCCACACCGGAGAGAAGCCATATAAGTGCATAGAGTGTGGAAAAAGTTTCAGTGAGGGCTTTTCCCTCACATCTCATAGAAGGATCCACACAGGAGAAAACCCATACAAATGCATGGAGTGTGGAAAGAGCTTCTGTGGAAATAGTTCTCTTACTGTTCATCAAAGGATCCACACAGGGGAGAAGCCATATAAATGCATGGAGTGTGGAATGAGCTTCCGTGAAAACAGGTCTCTTACTGTTCATCAAAGGATCCACACAGGGGAGAAGCCATATAAATGCATGGAGTGTGGAATGAGCTTCCGTGAAAACAGGTCTCTTACTGTTCATCAAAGGATCCACACAGGGGAGAAGCCATATAAATGCATGGAGTGTGGAATGAGCTTCCGTGAAAACAGGTCTCTTACTGTTCATCAAAGGATCCACACAGGAGAGAACCCATACAAATGCATCGAGTGTGGAAAGAGCTTCTGTGAAAATAAGTCTCTTACCATTCATAAAAGGATCCATACAGGAGAGAAGCCATATAAATGCATGGAGTGTGGAAAGAGCTTCCGTGAAAATTCGTCTCTTACTCTTCATAAAAGGATCCACACAGGGGAGAAGCCATATAAATGCATGGAGTGTGGAAAGAGCTTCCGTGAAAATTCGTCTCTTACTCTTCATAAAAGGATCCACACAGGGGAGAAGCCATATAAATGCATGGAGTGTGGAAAGAGCTTCCGTGAAAATTCGTCTCTTACTCTTCATAAAAGGATCCACACAGGGGAGAAGCCATATAAATGCATGGAGTGTGGGAAGGCCTTCAGGCAACACAGTAACCTAAGTTCCCATAGACGGATCCACACAGGAGGGAAGCCATATAAGTGCACAGAGTGTGGAAAAAGTTTCAGTAAGAGATGTTCCTTCACATCTCATCGAAGAATCCACACAGGAGAGAAGCCATACAAATGCATGGAGTGTGGAAAGAGCTTTCGTGAAAACAGGTCTCTTATTGTTCATCAAAGGATCCACACAGGGGAGAAGCCATATAAATGCATGGAGTGTGGGAAGGCCTTCAGGCAACACAGTAAGTTTACTTCCCATAAACGGATCCACACAGGAGAGAAGCCGTACAAATGCATGGAGTGTGGAAAGAGCTTTCGTGAAAACAGGTCTCTTATTGTTCATCAAAGGATCCACACAGGGGAGAAGCCATATAAATGCATGGAGTGTGGGAAGGCCTTCAGGCAACACAGTAAGTTTACTTCCCATAAACGGATCCACACAGGAGAGAAGCCGTATAAGTGCATAGAGTGCGGAAAAAGTTTTACTAACAGCCGTTACCTCAAATCTCATGGATGTATCCACGCAGGAGAGAAGCCACATAAATGCATGGAGTGTGGAAAGAGCTTCTCTGCAAATACTTCTCTTACTGTTCACCAAAGGATCCACGCAGGAGATAAGCCACATAAATGCATGGAGTGTGGGAAGAGCTTCTCTGCAAATAGTTATCTTACTGTTCACCAAAGGATCCACACAGGGGAGAAGCCATATAAATGCATGGAGTGTGGGAAGAGCTTCTCTGCAAATAGTTATCTTACTGTTCACCAAAGGATCCACACAGGGGAGAAGCCATATAAATGCATGGAGTGTGGGAAGAGCTTCTCTGCAAATAGTTATCTTACTGTTCACCAAAGGATCCACACAGGGGAGAAGCCATATAAATGCATGGAGTGTGGGAAGGCCTTCAGGCAACACAGTAACCTAAGTTCCCATAGACGGATCCACACAGGAGAGAAGCCATATAAGTGCACTGAGTGTGGAAAAGGTTTCACTAACAGCTGTTCCCTCACATCTCATAGAAGGATCCATACAGGAGAGAACCCATACAAATGCATGGAGTGTGGAAAGAGCTTCTGTAAAAACAGTTCTCTTACTGTTCACAAAAGGATCCACACAGGAGAGAAGCCGTACAAATGCATGGAGTGTGGAAAGAGCTTCCGTGAAAACAGGTCTCTTACAGTTCATCAAAGGATCCACACAGGGGAGAAGCCGTATACATGCATGGAGTGTGGGAAGGGCTTCAGCCAACACAGTAACCTAAGTTCCCATAAACGGATCCACACAGGAGAGAAGCCATATAAGTGTATAGAGTGCGGAAAAAGTTTTACTAAGAGCCATTCCCTCCTATCTCATGGATGTATCCATGCAGGAGAGAAGCCAGATAAATGAAGGGAGTGTGGAAAGAGCTTCAGGAGAAGCAGTGACCTAATTTCCAACACACAGACCCATTTGGGTGAGAATCCATGTAAATTCTAGCTATGGTTGGTTAAATCTATGCATTTCCTCTTTGTGTATACTGACTCGGGAAGGAATGTTTTTTGAGCCTGACCTTCACAACTGGCAGCCCCAGAGAGATTAATTTACCAATGGAAATAAAAGCAATGGGTATGTGCCTTCTTAATTATGAACTGTGGATTTTTGAAGGTACTATCATTTGAAGGTGGCCAACGCTCTTGCACGTCAGTAAGAAAAATCCTTTTTCTTCACTTTACCTTTATTTTGGGCATGTCAGATTCTGGGCTGTACAATTTGATGAAGATGTTGTCTTTATTGTGGTTTTACAAGTGAGCTTCTTGCTTGTCAATTGTTTGTTCTTCCCACTTGAGCATGCTGCTGAGAGGGATGTGTACAAGCAGACATGTAAGAGGTCCCCCAAACAGCCGAAGGAGCTGCATCTCCCTGATGCATCTCTTCAAGACAGGTTTTTTAGTTTTCCTTCTGCTATACCAGAATGCAGATAGAAGTTCAACTTCCCAGAGTTTAAACTTTCCTTCTTTTGCTTAGACTACTTACAAGTGTTTCCCACTCCCTCCCTCATTCCTGAATATGTTCAGAGGTCTCAAGCAATATTAAAATCCTAAGGTAACACAGGTTCCATCAAAGAATAGGGAGAGAGATGTTATGTGCTATTGAATTGCCCCCTGAATAATTGTGATATGAAATTAAAAGTAACAACTAAGAGGATTTGTGCTTCTAATTTCTCCCTCCCTC